AGAAGATATAGATATGGAGGACTGGGACGAAGATTTGGATGGGCCGCGCCCAGTAAAGGAGCTTTCTACTACGCTCCTAAATGGAATTAGCAGCAATGAAGAGACACCATATTCCACCTCATTTGTCCTTCGACTGCCAAATCTTGATCCTAGCCTTATCCACCCTGTGCATCTTGCCTTTCTTCACGAGTATAGAGAACCGACTTTTGGCATATTATCCTCGACTTCGTCCCCATCTTCAGTCCTCGGTCGAAAAGACCAGCTATCGTACATGGTGTTTACCTTGGATATCCAGCAAAAGGCTTCCACGACCATCCTGTCAGTGACAGGCCTTCCACAAGATTTATTTCGGGTAATCGCACTCCCTGTGCCGGTCGGTGGTGCCCTTCTAGTCGGTACGAACGAGCTTATACATATCGATCAATCTGGAAAGTCACATGGCGTGGGCGTCAACCCATTCGCAAAGCACACTACCTCTTTCAGTTTGGTCGACCAAACCGAGCTTGGGCTAAAGTTAGAGGGCTGTGAAATTGAGGCTTTATCTGCTGAAAATGGGGAATTTTTGATGGTCCTTAGTGACGGTCGTATGGCGGTTATCACGTTTAGAGTCGACGGTAGAATCGTATCGGGACTAAGCCTTCGATTAATCGTTCCAGAGGCCGGTGGCGCTATCATACCAACTGGTGTTACGACCTTGAGCAAACTAAACAAGTCCTGTCTATTTGCAGGTAGCGATGGTGCTGACTCGTTAGTTATCGGCTGGACACGTAAACTGGCACAGGCTGGAAGGAAAAAGTCTCGTCTACACGACCTTTCTCTAGACCTTGACTTAGATGACGAAGACATGGAGGATCTAGAAGATGACGATGATTTGTATGGCGACGACTCCGCGCCGGCTAGACAATCATCGAGTTCTGCTGGTACGCCAGGCGGCAAGTCTGGCGAGCTCGTCTTTCGTATACACGATCGGCTTGTCAGCATCGCGCCTATCAGGGATTTCACACTCGGACAGGCGGTATTATCTAATAAAGAAGAGCAGAATAATCAGAATGGTGTTACCAGCGACCTCAGCTTTGTCGGCGTCTGTGGTCGAGGCAGTGCCGGCTCGGTTGCTATAATCAATAGAGAAATACAACCGAAAGTCATTGGACGTTTTGAGTTCCCAGAAGCAAGGGGCTTCTGGACTATGGCCGCGCAAAAACCAATACCAAAGTCGTTACAGGGTGACAGGGGAGCTACGTCTATAAGTGCTGAATATGAGACTTCTGTCCAGTATGACCGTTTCATGATTGTGCCCAAGGTGGATTTGGATGGATACGAGACCTCGGATGTGTATGTTTTGACGGGTGCTGGATTTGAAGCGTTAACCGGAACGGAGTTTGATCCAGCTGCTGGCTTTACTATTGAAGCCGGTACTATGGGTAACCATATGAGAATTATACAAGTTCTTAAGACTGCCGTCCACTGCTACGATGGAGGTATGAGTAACTCCTGGTCTCCTGTCTCACATTGAACAATTACTAATATAGAGACAGACTTTGGGCTTACTCAAATCCTGCCAATGCTCGACGAAGAGACAGGTGCAGAACCCAGGGTCGATTGTGCTAGCATAGCCGATCCTTTTATATTCCTAGTTCGAGATGATGCAAGCGTATTCATTGCGAAGATAGATAAGAACCTGGAACTCGAAGAACTTGAAAAGGAAGACACAGCCCTTAACTCGACTAAATGGGCGACCGGTTGTTTATACGAAGATAGATCCGGCGTATTTTCCGGAACCCAGACGGATAAGGGCGCAAAGTCTGATGAAAATATAGTAATGTTCTTACTCAGCAAAGCTGGTGCCCTACATGTATGTGCCGTGTCAATATTTCCGATTTTGTTGCTAATATCTCTAGGCGTATGCACTGCCCGATCTCTCCAAGCCTATATATGTTGCAGAAGGCTTGCCATTTGTACCGCCACTCCTTTCGGCAAACTATGCAGCCAGACGAGGAACTGCTAAGGAAATCATCAAGGAGATATTGGTTGCTGACCTTGGAGACATGACTTCCTCGTGCCCGTACTTGATTGTGAGTTTGCACAATTTCCCAATGCATACATAGTCTACCATTACTTATCATGTCTAGGTTCGCCACGAGAATGATGACGTGACGATATATCAACCCTTCCGTACACCTTCGGCTACTACGCAGGACCTTTCTACGACGCTTCACTTTCAAAAATTACCTAACCCCGTCCTAGCAGAAGACCCAGTTGTGACAGCAGACGATGATGACGACGAAATAAGAAAGGCTCCTCCGATGAGACGATGTGACAATATTGCCGGATATAAAACCGTTTTCCTCCCAGGCAGCTCTCCGAGTTTTATTCTTAGATCATCAAAGACTTTGCCTAAGGTCCTGAGATTACGAGGCGATGGAGTTCGAGGAATGAGCCCGTTCCATACCGAGGGCTGCGAGAGAGGCTTCATCTATGCAGACTCGAAGGGCATTGCGCGTGTTTCTCAGATCCCGGTTCGCAACAGCACTTATGCCGAGATAGGCTTGGCTCTCAAGAAAGTGCCTTTAGAAACCGATATGCACTCCATTTCCTATCACCCCCCTTCAGGCACCTTCGTTGTTGGTTGCGATACCTTAGAACCATTCGAACTACCAAAAGAAGATGACTACCACAAAGAATGGCAGCATGAGAAAGACCTCGCTTTTAAGCCTATGATTGAACGGGGTCAGGTCAAATTAATAAATCCTAGCAGCTGGACCGTTATTGACACTATCGAGATGGAGCCATGCGAGACAGTAATGTGTATCGAAACGCTCAATTTAGAAGTGTCCGAGTCTACCAATGAGCGAAAGCACCTCATTGCCATTGGCACGGCCGTATCCCGCGGTGAGGATCTTCCCATCAGGGGCAGAGTTCTCGTGTATGATGTAGTGACGGTCATTCCGGAGCCAGGAAAGCCGGAAACAAACAAGAAATTAAAATTTGTAGCAAAGGAAGATATCCCTCGCGGCGCGGTCACAGCCATCTCTGAGATAGGAACTCAAGGTCTAATGCTGGTTGCCCAAGGACAGAAGTGTATGGTGCGCGGTCTAAAGGAGGACGGCACCCTTCTGCCCGTTGCATTCATGGACATGAGCTGCTACGTTACCGCTGTTCGCGAACTTAAAGGAACCGGTCTCTGCCTTATGGCCGACGCGGTCAAGGGAGTTTGGTTCACGGGCTATACGGAAGAGCCTTATAGGATGGTGCTCTTTGGGAAGAGTTCTACGAGGCTGGAAGTGTTAACGGTAGACTTCTTACCAGATGGGGAGGAACTTCTCATAGTGGCCTGTGATTCTGATGGCGGCATTCATATTCTCCAATTTGATCCTGATCGTAGGTCTTCCCCTTATATCCCTTTGACCATGCCATAGACCAGAGCTAACAACATAACCAGATCCCAAATCCCTACAAGGCCACTTGCTCCTCCACCGTACTACATTCTCCGCCGGTGCGCACCCTCCTACGCGCAGCATGTTACTCCCGCGCACACTCCCGTCAGATTCGGACTATCTCTCTCAACACGTCAATGGCGCCCCGGCCGATGACGACCCTTCTTCTTCCCCGGCACCACCCTCTATCCTCCTCCTCGCCTCCCCCACCGGCGCCTTAGCAACCCTGGCGCCCCTCTCCGAGCCCCAGTACCGCCGCCTGTCGTTACTAACCGGCCAGGTCCTCTCCTCCCTACCGCACTACGCCGGCCTCAACCCAAAGGACTACCGCGCTCCCACTTCCACAGGCGTAGTGGGTCGTCTACCACCCGGCGTTGACGCGGGTATGGGCCGCAGCGTCGTAGATGGCGCCCTGCTCACACGCTGGAACGAACTCCCCGCCGGTCGTCGCGCCGAGATCGCGGGACGTGTTGGATTCGCAGGCGTTGATGAGGCGAGAGATGTGTTGAGGGAAGTATTGGGCGCGAGTGGATTGGGATATCTCTGAGTGCTTGGACTATTGACGATGTAATAATACTACAGACCTATTCGCCTTACCATTAGATGGACTTGTTCGTGGAAGTTGTGGGCGGTGTTGTAGTTGTCTATCAGGTAGCATGTCAAGTTGGCTTAGAATCAATCAGCTTTGCATTTTTTTTTTGGTATGAATTGATTCCCTTTGACGTAGGGCTAAACTAAAGTATAAGACTTGAGTTGAGTGATTTAGTAGTTGTCTGTGAGGTGTTCCCCTTCACGTTTGCATTAGAAATAGGTAGCATTTGAATTGCCCCCCCCTGAAAAGTTCGCACAATTCAAACGTCCTTCCCCATTGAACTCATTCTGCTTACCTACTTGGTTCTTGTCCTAACCTGGGTGCATATCTGCCAAATCGTAATCATTCCGCACTTTGTTCCGGCTTGTTATGCCTAAGAAAAAACCAAACGAGCCAAGCCAAAATTATAGTCCGTCGTTCATATTCCCTAAGGCCCAGATGCCAGTACCAGTGAAATCCAGACGCAACGTTTCCGTAGTTCCCCCTTAAAACAACCCGAAATGCCGCAGTGGCAAATTCACTAACCACCGCCAGTTAGTTACTCCTCCGAGCCTTGTCCCTGCTTGTGTCTTCACGTTGTTCATGATGCACGCAGATGCCGACGAGTGCTGGTAAATAAACACCTTGCTTCCTTCCTTCCTTCCTATCCAGCCCCTCCTCGCAGCGCATTAGAGCCGCAGATTCAACCCCAAGATGTTAGTTACGATTGCGTAGCTTTCCCTATCCCCTTTCCCTTCCATCCCCATCCATGTCTTGCGCATATGTAAGATGCAGAACTGGACTCTTCCATATGGGGAAGGGGAAGTTCTGTTCCTAATGGATAAACCAAACGCAAGAGAAGATCATTCCCGGCGAAGTGAGTGCCAATCCTATATACTAACGCCTCGAGAAATCAAATCAAATCAAACCAAATCAACGACATAAGAAATCCTTCCGATGGTAGGTCGACCTGTGAATATTGGTGCAACTCATGTCGGCAATGACGGCCCTGGACCAAATGATCAAACTAGGATAGAGTGGGCACTTAGATGTCGTCGTGCTTGCGTCGAATGCTGCCAATACGGCGCTTAATGCCGTCGCTGAGTCGCTTCCCTTTGGAACTACCAGACGGTCCTGCCGATTGCAGACTGGCACTCCGTGGCCGAACAACAGTGACGTCACCGCCCTTGCCGGCAGTTGCAGTGCTGCGGCCCTTGGGCTGCATCTCGAAGGCGCCAGGCTGACCGAGCGATTTGCGTTGTAGATGCTTCTTGCGCTTGAGGTCTTCCTCGATGGTGTATGCGGGTTCCCCCTTGCCCTTTAGGTCGTTGGGGTGGTACTTCTATTGGCATATTGTTAGCAGGGCTGGCTGGTTTTGTCTGAGGAGTGTCTATGAAGAGGAGGGACTTACGATGTGATCCCATCGCTTGTATGGGCCACCTGGAGCGTCTTCCTCGCGCATGAGATCGGTGCCCTCTTCGTATTGCATGACGCGACCGCTGTAGTCTCGCTCACCGGGCGGGATTGTCGCTGTGCCCTGTAGGGGGACATGGCGTTCTAGAGAATCGACGAGGTTCTCACGGGGGGTGGCCTTGAGAGCTTCCATGTTTCCATATTTGACAGCTTCCACGGGAGCATATCGCTTATCGCGGTTTCGGGCGGCAAGCGTGGCGTCGTAAGGACCGTCATGGTGGTAGATTCCGCCGAATCCAGTAGTGTCAAGAGCATCGACAGTGTCTGCACCGGTGCGGTTCTTCTTGCGAAGATGAGGGGCACGGTCGGCGGCCTTTGTGGCTCGCTTGATTGCCTCGAGAGGTCGCTCAGACATCTTCTTCAAATAAGCACGAGTGCGGGAGAAGGCGGTTCGGACACGAAGCTTGAACTTTTTGATAGTGAAGCGTTGCAGCTTAGGCTTAAGCTTGGGGCTTGGAGTCTCTGTCTCTGAACTAAGGTTGTTCGAGGTTGAAGAGGAGTACTTAGGATCTGTGGATGCACTGCCTTTCTTAGTAGATTTAACAGTATTCTTTCGTGAAAGTTGAGTCTTCTTTGAGGTATCTTTGGTAGTAGAAGACTGAGTAGATTGTTTGGGTGCAACTCTTGGTGCGGAAGCAAATTGCTGATAGGGTTCGCTTCCAAATTGCAAACCAAAAACCTCGTAACTAGGCTGATATAAATTGGAAGGATTAGTAAATGGCTCTTATCTCAAGTCAGAGTCCGGATCCTGCAACACGCGCGTTCAAGACATGACTATGATGTAACCGGAGAAAGCCGAACAGGTACATCCAACCTTCCAAAGTACACCCTGAGCTTGTCTCCCGCTCTTGCATGGAAGCATATCCCTGGTCGACCCACTTGTTGATGCTAGCGTAATATATGACGTATGCGACAGGGGTAGCTCAGGGTGACATCGCAAATGGTTGGTGATCACGATCAGCAAGAACGACGACTTGCTGTTGAAGTTGTACAATAACTTCAGTGTAAATACTCATATCAATATGTCACTCCCCAGCAGTAAATATCACGGACAAATAATATATCAACGTGGTATAGGTAGCGCATGTTTGAGACAATTCACATGGGTTATTGTTTGGTTCACAAGATCGCGCGACACAGTATAGCGGACACAATATAGCAGACAGAGTATGGCAGACAAAGCATCGCATCACATCATATACACGAAGAATCAAGTGTATTCTTATATAGTAGAGATTCTGTGTGTGTGTGGGGGGGGGGGGGGGGGGATACACTTATTTATACTTACCCACGAAGCATGATCATCCATGGCGCCGGCTGATATAGAAAGATATATCTGGAGAGAATGTTGTTGATAGGAGTGAATAAATGATCCTGATGTTGTCAAGACAAGGGGAGAGTGTTGAGTATAGTAGAATCGCCGACCGGGAAAATGAATGAAGTGTGATGTTTCCGGGAAAAGGTAAATTGATTGTGGGACGGCGAAAGAAATTTGGATGTTGTGGGATCTAGGGTCGAGAGTTGGAAGGTTGGAAGGGAGTGACAGAAGGCAGGCGCCGATATGAATGATAAGCAAGAGCGAAGTAGGGGCGCTAGGCATATCGTTGCAATTGCTGTAACTGAAATTAACACTTGCTACCTGCTGAACTTTCTTAGGGCAATTAGGGCTATGATGGATTACCTCATTTCTTCAAAGACGCTATTACGAAAGAAGTAACCTGCAAATCCTTAATTCTTGATTACGTCTAGGAATAATACTAAAAGACTAAAGCATTGAGATTTCCCCTCTTATTGTAACCCTTTAGTTAAGACATTATGACCTACCTATGTATATCTCTTAGATAAATTGGGACATAGTTTCCCAAATCATATGTAGCTGTACTCTATATATTCATTGGGCCTTCTGATATTGTTTCTGCCAATATGAGTGTTGTGTTCAACTTTAAGTCCTTTTTACTTGGCAGGATAAGCAAAAACTGACATTACTCTAAGTCAAACCACCCTTACTGGGGCCACCCTAGTGGGGGCCACCCATTTCCCATACAAAATCAACAACTTCGCATGTCTATAATTAATTCAAAAG